TGAAATAATTTTCATATAGAAATCATCAGCTCTCCAATTAACAGATGAGAAGAGGCTAACTATAGATGAGTGCTAATGAAAATATATTGTCTGTTCATCAGTTATAGTATGTCCTTCCATGATCATCTGCCATCTCTTGTTATAATGTATAACCAGAAGACTGATCCTCTGGATGAGAAAGCTACCCTTTGACCCTTCTGGAGAAGGCCATCCCAGGTTCTGTTTCCCAACAAAGCTGCCCACTATGAGAGCACCAGACATGCACCCATGCTGCCAAGGAAGTTACCTACCCTTGAAGCCAGACACTCCTGCTCTTATCCTGTATTGTCATGCCCTGGTGTGAACAAAGAAAAAGAACCCTAGCATAGATGACACGTCAGCCTGTCTGTATACCATCTGGAGCCTCTACTCCGGGGGTTGGGGAACCTGTGGCCTCGAGGCCACACATGGCCCTCTAAGTCCTCAAGGGTGGCCCTTTGACTGAATCCAAACTTCACAGAAGTCAATAAAAGGATTTGTTCTGTAAAACTGGAACTCTGCCAAAAGGCCACACCCAAGAACCTAGAAGGCCACATGTGGCCTTGAGGCCGCAGGTTCCCCACCCCTACTCTACTCCATTCCATGCAGCACCCGAAGGCCTGTTTTCTGGATGACTTGACCCAGGCACCTCACCTAGGACTATTCCTTTCCTTTCTGCCTCACCCTCCAAGACTTCATCCAAAAACTTTTAGTTGCTCACACTAACTTCTACCCAAAGGGCCCCAAAGGCTGTATTTATCCATACAGAGCCATTAGTCACAGATAAAATTGAGTGAAGCCAATAAAAGCTTCACGGGGAAGTTGTGGTGGCAGAAAGAGGGGAGAAGGCCTCCATTTCAGTCTGAATGGGCATCCATATCCAATTCCTACATTTTTGTCCTCTACTTCAATTCTTGGACAAAGCAAACCAAAAGACAAAGTCTGCCCTGTCTTGAACCCTGAGGCCTATGACTATCAGCAAGTTTTTCTCCTTTCTCCTAGAGCACAACAAACTTTCCCTGGAGCCAATGACAGACCATTTGTGAAATCGGCATAACTATATACTTTTGGACTATTACAAGTTTCTTTGGGAAATGACTTCAATTTTAGAGGCTTGTTTGCTCCAAGAGACTTCTATTTTCTATGGGCTAACTGATGCTTCTCCATGCCTGGCTTGCAACAACAAACAAAATAAGGCTTTCTACTGATTTATCCCTTAAATTGAAAGCATTTTTTTTCCGTGTTAAAAGAAAGCTTGTGATTTTAAGAGGTAGAAGTAAGGAGGGAGGATGTTAAAGTCATAGGGATGTGAAGACATGGAGATAGGAGATGGGATGTTATTTTCAAAGAAGAGCAAGCAGGCCAGTTTAGTTGAAACCAAGGTGTCAAGGGGAATAAGCTAGGCTAGAGACAGATTGTCAAAGGCTTTAAGTGTAAAGCAAAGGAATTTTTATTTTATCCTTAGGAACAAGGGGAAAATACTGTGACTCCTTAAGTGAAAAGGGGTGACATGGTTAGACCTTTTATTTTATTTTTTGGAGGCAATTGGGGTTAAGTGACTTGCCCAGGGTCACACAGCTACTAAGTATCTGAGGCCTGATTTAAAGTCAGGTCCTCCTGACTCTAGGGTTGGTGCTTTATCCACTGCACAACCTGCCTGCCCCTAGACCTTTTGTGAATATCCATTTGGCCGCTGTTTGGAGAATGTATTAGACGAGGGAAAAAATCCTGAGTTATGGACATGGTTTTAGACAGTTTATTGCAATACTCTGGAGGAAAGGTGACAAGAGCCTGAACCAGAGAATTGTCCATGGGAATAAAGAGAAAGGGATTGATATGAGATATGCTATGGAATCAATCAATCAGCAAGCATTTTTTAAGCAACTATTGTGCACCAGACACTGTGCTAAATACTGAGGATGAAATGAAAAAGTGAAAACAATTTCTGCTCTCAAAGTGTTTACATTCTAATGGGGGGACACCATGTACAGAAATACATACAATACATACAAAATCTTTTCAGAAGAGATATAGGAGAACCTTTGTGGGAAAGACACTAGCAACTAGGGAGACTACAAAAGGCCTCCAATAGAAGTTGGTGTTTAAGCTGAGTACTGAAAGGAAGCCAGGAATTCCCTTAGCACTGATGCTAAGGGAAAGCATTCTGGGCATGAGGGACAGCCAATGCAAAGTCACAGAGATGAGAGATAGAGTCCTATGTGTGAGGAACAGCAAGTAGGTTGGTGTGGCTGAATTGTAGATTGTATAGAGGGGAATAATGTATGAGAAACCTAAAAAAATGGGAAGAGGCCAGGTTGTGAACATCTTTAAATGTTAAAAAGAGGAGTTTATGTTTGATCCTGGAGGTCATAGGAAGCCACTGAAATTTATTGAGTAAGGGGATTATATGGGTAAATTTATACTTTAGGAAAATTGCTTCAAAAGCTGAATAGAGGATTGATTAGAGATGAGAGGGACTTGAGGTAGGGGCTAGTGTAATAATCCAGTTAAGAAGTGATAAGAACTTAAAGTGATGTTAAGTGGAGATAGAAATGACAAGATTAGGCAATTGATTGGATATGGGGGGTGAGTGAGAGTAAGGAGTCAACAATGACATGAGAGTTGTAAACCTGAATGATGGGGAGGATGGTTGTATCATCAATAATAATGGAGAAGTTCAGGAGAGGAGTGACTATGGGGTCAGAATGATCATGAATTCTCTTTTGGACATGTTGAGTTTGAGATGCCTATGGTACATCCAGTTCAGAATGTTCAATAAATAGTTGAGTGATATAGGGATTCATAAGAGAGACTAGGGCTAGAAATATAGATCTAGGAGTCATCTATGTAAAAATGATAATTGAATCTATGTGGGCTAATGAGATTACCAAATTAGTAAGTATGAAGAGAAAAGAGAAGAGGGCCAGGGACAGGGTTTTATGGTTTACCCACAGTTAGTGGGCATGACATGGATGAAGATCTAGTAAAGGAGAATGAGAATGAATGGTCAGTTAGATAAGAGGAGAACCAAGAGATATCAGTGTCATGAAAACCCAGAGAGGAGGGAATGTCCAGGAGGAGTGTCTTAGGCTGCAGAAAAGTCAAAAAGCAAAAGATTGAGAGAAGGCCATAGGACTGGCAATTTAAAGATCTTTGGTAGTTTTGGAGAGAGAAATTTTAATTACATGATGAAGTCAGAATCCAAGGCCTGAGAAGTGAGAGGAAAAGTGAAGACAAAAAGTAAATAGCATTTTTGAGGAGATGGGGAATTTGGTTGTGTCAAGGAGGGCTGATAGGGCTGTAATTTGAGGAGATGGTAGGGTCAATTAAGAGTTAAGGAGATCTGGGCATTCAGGGAAGATGCTAGTAGATAGGGAGAGATTAAAGATTAGAGGAAGGGGGATGATTGTGGAGACAATCTGTTAGAAGAGATGGGAACAGATGAGATCAAGGGTATATGTAGAAGAGTTGACCTTGCCAAGGAGAAGATACACCTCTTCATCAGAGGCTGACATTAAGGAGATAGTAGTACTGGTAGTTTGCAATTCCTGCTGATGGGTACTGAGTCAGTTCATTGACCTATTATGAGCAACAGGAAGTTATTATTTCTGGGTCATTTATGGAGGATATGGAAAAACTTCCAGAGACTTGTCAAAGCTGACGATCATAAGCCATTTCTTGTGATTCATACATGGATAGAAGATACTGACAGAAGAACCCAAAATTACTAGAGTTTATGAAGTCCTGAGAAAGAAATTGAAGACCTCAGGTTCACTGGTGCTGCATCACCACTGTTGATAATTATAGGGGCTTCAGAAGAGAAAGGTCATTTTAAAAATTGTATAGCTAATTTAGAATATGTCATGTGAAAGTAAAGAAAGCCATTAGATCTAGAATCAAAAGACATGGGTTTAAACTTTGCCTCATCTGATTACTATTTGCCTCATCTGATTACCTGTGTGACCTTTGACAAGGGCTGGATTGGAATGATTCATTCATTTATGATTAGTAAGTCCTCTTCTAACCCTAAATCCTATGATACTTTTTTTTCTAATCCTATAAAAAAGGATTTGATTTCCAAGTCACACCATAAAAGATAGGAATGATGAGCTCTTGAACACATTGAATAAAGTCTGGCAAAAATATATTTGCCTGGTGACTTAAAAATACGATCAAAAGTCCTTTAAATTGAAAATGGAAGGGGAGGGAGAAAACTGACCAGTTATACTATATCTGCCAAATCAGATATTATGGAAGAAGCATTAATGGTATAGGAAGCAGTGTATACAGAAAGAGAAAGTTGCAGACAGGCAAATATTTGCCTTGGTGATAAGGAAAAATTGTACTCCTAAAAATTAGTTGTCTCAAAATGGCATGGGATGGATGCCTGGGATGATACTGAACTCCACCTACCTCCCCTCCCTGAAAATTTGGAGGTTGCAAGTGAAGACTAGATGATCATTTGTGGATTTTGTAGAAAGGGTTCCAGTTCAAGTATAGATTTGATTAGATGATCTCTGAAGTCCCCTCCAGCTCTCAAATTCTATGAAATTAAGTTACGCTTCTTTAGATAGAATTCTAATGGGAATGAAGCAATGACTGATAGCTGCATAGGTACCATACAGCTCTATACGGACTAGATATCACTTCTATAATACCTATCATCATATTGATCTTACAGTGTCGCTTAGAAACTGTTTAGACTCCAGCTTGTGCCCAACAAGTTCCCTTATTCTGGGAATCTTAAACAGACATATATGTTTCTGTGTAAATTGGTGCGTTGCCTAAGGTTGCCATAGAGAGAGGGCAGGAGACTAGAAGCAACTGCAGGTTGTTTCCATGGCATCCAGATGTGATTATAGCACAGCATTACTTCAATTTTGTCTCTTCAATAAGAAGCCAAAGTGTCATCTTTGACCAAGTTGATTGAGTTCTAATAACTCTTTTCTAAAGGAAAGCACTCCTTGCTACTCCCTTATTACCTTTCATGCCAGTTGTCTCTTTACTGTTGCCAGTTATTTCCAGATATACCGTTCTCCTTCCTCCCCATTGCTCTAGGGAGAATTCCCTAGTAACAAAGAAAGAACAGTTAAGCAAAACAAAATAATGCAACAAATGGCCTAATTGCATATGCAACATTGCACACCCATTGTCCCTCCTTTTCCTATGAAAGGATGACGTGTTTTCCTTATTTCTTTTGGGAGCAAGAGTCATAAGCAAGGTTGGTTATTATAATCATGTAGCATTCGGTTTCATCTTATTCTTTTAATTTAAATTATAATAGTATTTGTGTATGTTACTGTCTTGGTTTTGCCTATGTCACTCTGCATCAGTTCATACAAGTGCTCCCTCTAAGTTCTTCACATTCTTTGTTTCTTATGGGGCAGTAATAAACCATTACCTTCGGGTGCCATATTTTATATAGCCTTTCTCCAGCCAATAGGCACACATTTTATTTCTAGTTCCAGTTATAACCACAGAAAGTGCTTCTGTGAATGTTTTGCTATGTATGTATGTTTTCTTTCTGTTTTGCTGTTGTTGTTTTGTTGGTTTTTTAAAATTTGTTGTCGTATATGCCCAGCAATGGGCATATATATTGCTGGATATACATGAGTCAAATGGTATGAACACTTGAGTCACTTTTCTCCCATGCTTCCAAATTATTTTTCAGAATCTAAAGTGATCTTTAACTGTGATTTCCTGGGAGACTTTCCAGTGAGGCTAGGTTTCTACCTGGTAAGATTATATGTCTATAGGAGAATAACAGAAAATTAGTATCAAAAGGTAATATGTTATCAAAAGAAATAGGCTCAGTTTCTGACTATAACTTACAGTGACTTCTCTGAGCTTCCATTTCCTTGTCTGTAAAACGAGGACAATACAATAGAATGACACTGTTTACCTCAAAGATAAGCGTGAAGAAAGCAATTTTGAAACCTTAAAGAGGTTTATTATATAATTATATATATACACATTAAAATATATAGTAAATATATTATAAACTGATATAACTTTGAGTTATTATTATAAATAATAATATGTCTCCGTATCTATTATTTTCATATTAGGATTATAGAATTAGCATGGGAAGGGACCTACTGCAATGCCTCTATTTTACAGATGAAGAAAGAGAGGCCCAGAATAGTTAAGTGACTTAGCAAAGGCCACATAATTATATAGGATCATAGATCCAGGGTTGTAATGCACCTCAGTAGCCATCTTGTTCTCATTTTAAAGATGAGGAAATAGAGGCCCAGGGAACGTAAGAAACTTGTCCAAGATTACACAGCTAGTGAATGACCAAAGTAGAATTGGAATCCAAGTCTTCTGACACTCTTTTATGCTGTCTCCATATTCTTGGACAATAAAGTTATTGTTGAAATCCATACATGAAATATGAAATTATGTCAATTCTTCATTTAACTCTAGGATAAAACAAACGCCTCTCATCAGTTAAGCCCTCCATGATCTGGCTGCCACTCGCCTTTCCAGGTTTATTTCATATCATTCCCCTTCACATTCTATGTTCCAGTCAAAGTGACCTACTTACAAACTGGACTTTGAATTTGGCATTCCATTTCCCAACTTTCTGTCTTAGATTGGCTGTCTCCAGCCATGAGTGCTCTCCCTCCTCACCTTTGCCTCTTAGAATCTCTAGCTTCCTTTCAAGACTTATCTCAAGATACTACCTTTCAGAAAATCTTTGCCTCATCCCTCTCCTAAAATTAATGTCTGTTTACTTACCTCTGGACATGTTGTATCCAACCAAGTTGCTCCCTATAAGCTTTTTGAGGGCCAGGATTGCTGTTTTTAATCTTTTTATCCCTAGAGTCTGGCATATATTAGATACCTAGACATGTTGAACTGAATGTTAAAAACAAGTTCATTTTTGGGAGCAGGTGCTTTTTAGTGACTTTTTGCTTTGTGTAACTATGATATTTGGAGAGCATCTTATCAGGTGAGTCATCTGTGGAGGAGGGGATAGTTTCTAGCACAAAGGACAAGAAGAACTTTGCAGTAGTAATTTGCTGAATGATTGGCATGCCCAGCTCTTACTTTCACTGAAAAGGACCAGAGAAAACAGACTCAGGGTCACAGTTATAGTACAATTATAGCACAACGTTTATTGAATTTGGATATTGAATTTAAAATGCCCAGAGGATCAGATTTAAAAATCAAGTTACCAGTATGCAAAACAATGGATTTTCTTAGGTGGAGACAAAAGATCATTGAGATTTATAGAATTTTAGAGCTGAAGGCATCTGCTACTTATACCTGTGTTGGAGCTGGGTTGAATTTAATCAACCAGCCAATCAACATCTACTAAGTGCTTTATTGTTCAGTCATTTCAGTTGTGTCCTACTTTTCAGGATCCTATTTGGGGTTTTCTGGGCAAAGATACTGGGTGGTTTGCCATTTCCTTCTCCAATTCATTTCACAGATGAGGAAACTGAGGCAAACAGGGTTAAGTGATTTGCCCAGGGTCACCCAGCTAGTAAGTATCTGAGGCTGGGTTTGAACTCAGGTCTTCTTGACTCCAGGCCTGATGCTCTATCCACTATGCCAACTAGTTGACCCACCAAGTGTTTATAATCTACAATTAATCATCTACTAAGTACCTACTACATGTCAGGCACTGTGCTACAAATATACAAATATAAGGAATAGAACAATCCCTACTCTCAAGGAGGGGAGAAAACAAGTACATAGGGGAAAGAGGTGAAGGAAACAAACATTTATTAGACCCCTCCTTATGTGTCAGGCACTATGCTAAACACTTTACAAATATTATCTAATTTGATATACAATAGATAAGTATATGTAGAATAAATATAAAATGGTAAATATAAATAAAGTAGATAAAGACAAGGTAGTTTAAGGGGGGAGGGCAGTAAAATTTGGGGGGATGAACAAATGTTTCATATAGAAGGTATTGCTTGAGTTACCTCTTGAAAAAAGAGAAGGATTCTGTTTTAAGATAGAATATAAGCTTCCCAAGGGCAGTAACTGTTTCATTTCTGCCCCAGTGCCTAGCATAGTGTTTAGCACAGAGCAGGGACTTAATAAATACCCATTCATTGATTGATTGTATGATCTTGGTCAAGTCATGATCTCTTTGGTACTCAGTTTCCTCATCTCTAAAAGGAAGAGATTAGAAAAGATGATATATACTTCCCTTTTCAGTTCTTAATCATTAATACAATTTTATGACCTGGGTCATTTAGGCTATTCTCTTAGTTTTACGGATGAGGAGGCTCAACAGAGATTAACTGACCTTTCCAATGTCATACAGGTATTGATAGGCAGATCCAGCTCCCAGAACTTGAGTTTTTGTCTCCCATTTCTGTGCTCTTTCCACATGCTACTATACCACACTTTCAACTATCTGGAGGACCAGAAGAAAAAAATATCTGTTCACAGAGGCATCTAGGTCCTGCAAATGTGTACAGTGAGGCAGGAATGAAGCTGTTACACTAGATGAAGTATGTCAGCAACATTGCCTTGCAGGATTTCTAAATTAAATCTGGAGTCCTTTTAAGAAATACAGTATGATTTTAGCATATGCATTGAAGATACTTTATTGAAGGAGAGCCTTTAAAGTTGCATTTTGCTCTACAAGTCACTTTTTCCTGGTAACCGACAAACAATAAACACTGCAGGATCATGTATTCTCCATTCCCATTAGTCTATTGTTTGACTATGAAGACAATCTTCTATAAACAGTTGCCTGTGAAACTCTTCCTTTTCCATTCTCATAATTTCAAGCCATCAAGCCAACAATCATCTGTGAAATACTATGTGCCAGGCATTGTGCTAAATTCTGAGAATACAAAGAAAGGCAAAAACAGTCCCTGCCACCAAGGAATGCACAATCTAATGGGGCATTCAACACACTCTGACAATTTTGTACAAGATATATACAAATAAATTGGAAATAATCTTAGCCAGAAAGCACTATCATTAAAGGGGATTAAGAAAGGCTTTTTGTAAAAGGTTTAATGAAAAAGCAAATTAGAGCCACCCACTGTAGCAGTTGGATTGAGAGCTACCTCCTGGGTTTAAATAATTTTAAAACGAGGAGGAGATGATCAATATCTTTAAATCATTTCAATTCCTTTACTTGGTGATTATGTGATAATTCTATATCAGCACTAGGGAGGGGAAAAGAAAACCCACACATAAGTCTTGTGTGCCCAAAGGAAATTTATTAATGGATATTTTTTAAAGCTACCTAGAGATGGGAGTGGGGTGCTACAGTCCTTTAAATCTACATCCAGAATGGAACAATGATGGTGTTAACATTTTTTTAAATAGAAAAAGCATTAATAACTCCATTTGCCTTTTGTCCACCATTTTGTGAAGTTAACTTTTAGCTTCTTATGAGCCACCCAACTTTGGGGTAATCATAAAACTACTTCCTCCTCCACACTAGCACCTGATTTTGATGAAAGTCCCGATCCTCTCTACCAATAAGAAATGAGGTGACTTATTCCCAACAATCTGTTTGTTTTACTCCCTTCAACCTATAATAACTACAGAAATCAAGAGTCAGGGTACTTGGCTACCAAAAGCCTTGCACCCAATTTATTTCTGCCACTGCAGCATTACTAGATAAATAGTTGTCTGGATTCAACCACTTAGTGCCTCTTCCACCAAAACAGGTGTGGCAGTTCCCAAGATTTGGGAGGTGTGACAGCTCCAAATACAGTTTCCTAGCTTCTCTCACATGTGTTAGAGATACTTCCTCTTTTTAGGGGGCTTCCAGGTATTTATGATTTTCTCTCCCTTCCCACCCCAAGATTCTCCATGTGGAATGCTAACTCATATTTCTCAGGGAAAGGAGAATAAATTTCCAATACATGAAGATTGTAACAAATGGTTACAAACCTTCTTTACATGTGTGTATGTGTGTATAAAATCTATAGTGAGCAATATTGATTCATTTGTATTCCTCAGAGTGAGGAAGTAGAACACTTGAAGTTACAAAATTCTATACTTGTCCAAATAAGAAATGTTATAGAACTACAATAACCAGACATTTATAGAAAGCAATGCAGAAGTTAAAGTTTCTTTTGCCCTACCACAAAAACACCTTCATTACTTGCATAGACCACAATCAGAAAGATTTTATAGAGATGAAAAAGTTCGTATATGGTTGGTAGTTACAGCTATTTTCTTGGTTACCTTTTTGGCATTAATGCTGGTCCCTGATTTTTTTTCCATTCTTTTGAGACTTTTTATTCTTTATTATATATTTTTAAAAATGAACCCTAAGTCCCCTTTGTCACCTCCAACATGGATTATTTTCTGTATTAATTATGTCAGATCCAGTTACTCTTCTCAACTTAATTTTCTTGAGTGCCATTTCTACTTCCTTATCTAGCATATATCAGGTATTAGATATTGGAGTACAAATTTGAGGACCCTACTGCCACTGACAAAAAATGTATCACTAGAGAAACACATTTCACTTCCATTTCTCTTTCTCCTTTCAGTTTTATCTATAAATGTCCTTGGGAGAGCAAAGTTTCACTGTTTCTCATGCTAAGCTTTCTTCAGGCTTGAAGAAGCCTTACTGAAGACAGTCAGTGTCTTTTTTTTTCATCCATTTCTAATTTTTCAGTGAATAGATAATTTAAGTAGGTTGGGTTGGAGTTCTTATAATTATAGCAATAACTTCCCTTTAATCCTTTCTTCTAATTTGATATTAACTTTGATCTTTGTTCTTTGTGTTAAGAATCACAAAGTCAGAGATAAATCCATAAACTAAGCCAACTGGGGGACACAGAAGAAGCAAGTTCTACGTGAGTCAACACTGTGGGTATGGCAGCCAATAAAAGATAATTCAATCTTAGGCTACGTGTATAGAGACAAAATGTCCAGAACAGGAGAACCATTGTTGCACCATTGCACACTGCTCTGGTCAAGCCACAGCTAGAGTATTGTGTTCAGTTCTGAGTACCACGTCTTGGGAAAAATGCTAAAAATCTTGAGAGCACATTTAGAAGTAGGCATCCAGGATGATAAGAGGTCTGGCCACACTCTAAGAAGATGGTAGAAGTGGAAGAAGAAGTGTTTAGTTTTTAGAAGAGAAGATTTAGAAAATTTACATCGTATCTTCAGGTATTTGAAAGCTGTTAAGTGGAGAAGGATTCGAGCTGTTCTGCTTGGCAACAGAGGATAAAAGGTAATTGGTGAAAGCCTTCTTTGATCCTCTCAGTTGTTCATACTATTTCATGTCTCAAATTTCCTTGTATTTATTTATCTGTGCATGTTTTATATGATGTCCCATCCCCCCACCTCTAAGAATGTAAGGTCCTATTCCTTTTTTTGTTTCTGTATCTCCAGAGCTTACCCAGTACATTTCACTTTTGATAAATCATTGTTAAAGTGAATTGAAGTTTCAGAAAGTCAGGACTACGTATAATATAAGTAAAATTTTCCTAATGATTAGAGCTATCTCAAAGTGGAGTGGGCTATCTAGGGAGATATATTTTCTGTAAGTAAAGTTCTCCAAGCAGAAGCTAAATGACTACTTGTTTGAAATGTCTTAAAGAAAATTCCTGTTTAGGACTAGATAGATCAAATTTTGTGATTGTGTAAGTCTATGAATCAGGGTCGAGCTGGTTCTGGCTACTTGGTATATGCATACGTCATCCTTTACCTGTTATTGATACCTGACGGAGCACTAATGGAGGCAGAAGTGGAGAGATAGGCACTGAAAGGGAAGGCAGAAAGACACTAAGGACAAAGTTCACAATTTTGTTGAACTTCCTTTAATTAAGTTATTAGATGGTGGTCTTAGAAGAACAAAATTCTTCACCACTCACTGTTGGTGCATAGGTTTTTTTTAGGCCTTTTTCTGACAGTATGTTGTAACTC